AAAAGAAGACTTACTTCCGGTCATATTGTTACAACTGCGGTATTCACATATATACCATTAACAAGGTTTCTCCTTATTTATCTTCAATTAAATTTGACTTCTCTTCTTTCTCAATAGGCATCCTAGTATGACATTCAGAATGACAGTGACTAAATTTATAGCAAAGGTAACATTCTACATCGGATTTTTTGAAATCTCTCCCTCTCTCTTTGCCTTAGTCATCATTGGCTTTAAAATTACAAAATGCAAACACACGTAGAGCTATAAAAGCTTTTAAAAAAAGTTAGTAGAAACCATACCTATTGAACCACTAGTGTATGTTCTTACAAGGCATATTCCATAATACAAGGCGACCTTTCCTTTACAAAGAATTGTCAAAAAAATATTTCATTTTCAAACACTCCTCCTTGATATTCTTCTTGGATACTCCCAACGTAGCCCTTAGAACTTCAAAATGTCCCTTAGGAAGAGACATGATCATTATGTTTGCAATCTACTTATCTAAGCTGTAATGAACTAGTGTAACTTCCCCATCCTTCTCTACTTGCCTAAACAGAATGAAACTACACTTTTTTATGCACCATTATTATTGTTGAGATGTTGTCATTCTTAATGACAATAGATTCAATAGGATTTTTCTCCAGATCACTCAGAATCTTTCTTAACCATAAAACTTGATAAATTGCACCAGCAACATGAATATGTTGTGCTTTCACAGAAGATTGAACAACCACTTCTTTCTTCTTTGCAAAAGCACATAATCAAGGTTCCATCCCTATCACTACCTGAATAACCTATCAATTTCCCTTGCTCTTCCTTTTTAAATCAAATACCATAATCAAAAGTTCCTTTGATATATCTCAATGTTCGTTTATCAACACAAAAATTATCTAGCATAAACCTCAATAGAAGACTTGCCGCGAACATGAGATCAGGTCTTGTTGCTATCAAATACAATAAACTACTAGTTATACTTCTATAAACTGTTAGATCATCCCTAGCCTCATTCAAAATTTGAAAACTTTTCACTATGAACTAGTGGGTTGGTACAGGCTTTAACCTTTTAAGAATATCCCCTGCATATTCTTAAAAGTGTATCATTCCTCGGGACATACAAAAAGTCTGCCAGAGAATCAAACTACAACCCACGTAAACAACCTCATCCACAACCATATTGGCACTTTTCTGATTGGTTTCACCCTGACTCCCTGTCCAAAAAGTGAGAATGATCTCTTTCACCATATTTCCAAGAATTACCCGTCCCATTCACGGGCCCATCAATAGTCAACACTCATCCATGATGCTTTATGAAAAAATCAACTCCCAAGAATCTCCACTCAGAATTGGTTCCCTCATACTTCCATATCTCACTTTCAATAGAGGAACCAACCCACCAAAGAGAAGCGTGAAGAACAACACTCCAAGGAAGCTACAACTAGCAACGTTCTCTATTTTCACCTAACTCTTCTTTTTCTCCACTTGCTTGCTACTTTTTGGCACGGGGCGCTACTGTTGTGGTTTCAACTTTGGATGGGAACCAATGGCACTTGTGATCGTTGTGGCTTCATCATACAAGGTTGTACAATGAAATCCATAAGAGGAGGATGGGGATACATTTCGGGGGTAGTTCCACTTGAGGAGGTACACAATTTTCTCCAAGTTGTGCCTTTAGATTTACATTTTCCGTCATTTCATAGAATATCTCTGCATTCAAATGATGAATGAAGTATGCTAACTTTATACTATAATCCTCCACATAATGCATTTTTATTTGCCTTGACAAGTGAACACTCCCTTATTCCTAATTAATCTACAGAAAACGATAAAAGTGAAAGAGAAACAAAAGGCAAAAAAGAACAATAAAGCTTGGGTCCCAAAAAATATGATAGCAATAAAATAATTCCTCATACAACTAGTAGTTGTACCTCACTCATAATAAATTTTTTTCCTATTCTTAAATATAGTGAATTATTAACAATGTCACTCAAGGTAAATATAGTGAAATTTTTGTGTTTGCTTACATTGTTTGAGTGTTAACTACCCTTCTTCCTTTTCAACAAATAGCTATAGTTACTTATATTAGCGTTGAGTTTATTTTCTACAACTCCACCTTTTAGTAAATTACTTCCTAAATTTGGAGAAGGATGTACCAATTTGTTAAAATCTAACAGATTATTCAGCCCTTTTGTGAGATTGGACCCACGATTTGGAGATAGAACATTCAAGTACCCAGGAACATCTATAGAAATATGGTACAATGATTGAGGCACTTCATCCAAAAATCATGAGCTGCTCCAACTATGAAGTAGCCCGGCGATGACATGTCCATAACAATCAAACCTCCACTGCCTGATTTCCAGCATAATTCCTCATTTCCTTCAGTGTCAACTTAACATTTCTAACAGAAACACTAAAATTTCTTATCAATTCATCTCCAGGTGAACATAATCAATAAAAGCCCATCTAGAATGGGTTCGATCCTAGAGCTTCCTGAGAAAATCTCTCGAGGTTGACTTAAATGTTCAAGATGCATCGTAAAAATTCCCCATCAGTTGACTCCAAGGTTGACCAAAGCTATTTGGGTCCATCTAATCTGATTTCAAACCTAGCTTTGACCCGAGACAGTTAAGAATGTACTTAGACGTTTAAAATGCATCATCATCGCTAGGGTTTGGAAAAGTATCATTCAAATGATTCTTAAAAAATGATGTCATTAATTGAGAAATTAAACTTCTAAAATTTCATTGAAAATTATCGATGTTTTTTCCAAATGTCGCGGTCATGTGTAGGACATAAAAAATATGTTGTGGTCATGCGCAGGACGTAAAAAGTATGCTGATTTCATGTGTAGGACTTGAAAAAAATGTTGCGGTCAAGAATAGGACGTTTTCTAAAATTATACTTTCTTTCTTAGATACCTGGTGTTCTTGATTTAACTAGAAAGATTCATTTTTTATAAGATATACTAGTCACTGAACTCTAGATTATGAACTTACATGTCTGAAATGAGAGGCATAGAGAAAATAAATAGAACTAAATAGTTCTTGGATCACATACTTACACCCCTTACTTCATTGAAAAATAGCAATCTTTCCTTAAGGTTCGATCATTTAAAAGAGGATTGTTGTATCCATACATGCTCTTACTGGTAAAATACACATAATCAACTGATTAAACTACCTTCAAAATTTATTTTTTTGAAACTTTAAGGATCTTAATTTTTGTTTATAAGATATGATATCTACAAAATCTAATATATCAATCTGAACAATCTCAAATGATAAAGCTATAAAAGAAAAGTAAATGACAGTTTCCTCTCTATTCCAACTCTGTCTCTCGCTAAATCTTTGATCAATTTCTAAATACTTTTTACTTCTTACACATGACTGCAACATATCAAGAAAATATTGAGGATTTTTTATGAAATTTTGGAACATTGATTTCTTAACTGATGACATCATTTTTTATGCATCGTTCAATGATATTTTCCGAAACCCTACCCATAATGATGCATTGCAAACACCTAGACACATGCCTGACTATCTTGGGTCGGAGTCAAGTTTTGACTCGGGTCAGATGGACCCAAATACCTTTGGTAACCGATAGCGAGTTTTGATGATGCTTCTGGAACTATCAAGTCAACCTCGAGAGATTGTCAAGGGGAATCTACGGGATCAAACTTGCTTCATATGGACCCTAATTTCTTTAGTCAACCTACGATGAATTAATTAGGAATTATAGCGATTACTATAGAAATTTCAAGTTGACGTCAGGGGGAAATGAGCAATTTTGCCCCCAATCAGGAAGCGGTAGTTGAGATGGTCAAGTACATGTCGACGCTAGGGCTACTTCGTAGTTGGAGCAGCTCAAGAATTTTGGATGAAGTGTTTGTGTTGTTGCACTAGGTTTTTACCCATGTCTACGGGTACTTGAACGTGCCATCAGCGAATTGTGGTTCCAATCTCTCAAAAAGGTTGAATAATCTGTTGAGTTCTAATAGATTGCTACATTCTTCCATGAAGTTTGGAAGTAATTCAGCAAAAGGTGGAGTTGTAAAACAGAAACTCAATGCTAATACAAGTAATTGTAGTTATTTTTTGAAAAGGAAATAACATATTGAAGAATCGAATAATGTAAACAAACACCAAAGGTCCACTATATTTTTCTTGAGTGATAATGCTAATAATGATGAGGAAAAAAAGAAGACGCCTAGAAAAAAGGGGAAAGTGCTCACTTGTCAAGGCAATGAAAAAAGCATTATGTTGAGGAGTTAGAATACTTCATTCACCAATTCAACATTTGAATGCAAATATATCCTATGAAACAACATAAAATGCACAACTTGGAGGTACTGATGTAGCTCCTCAAGTGCAGCCACCCCCCAGGATGTATTCACATCCTCCTCCATGGATGTCATATACACCACCTTATATGACGAAGCAACTAGGATAGTGACATTGGTTTCAATTCCAAAGTTGAAACCACAGGCAATAGTGCCAGCATCAACAAGTAGAAAGAAAGTGGAAAAAAGGAAGAGTGAGGTGAAAACAAAGAAGGCTGCTAGTGTTAGCTTCCTTGGTGTGTTGTTCTTCATGCTTTTGTTTGGTGGGTTAGTTCCTTTATTGAAATTAGATATGGAGGTATGAGGGAACCATTTATGACTGGAGATTCTTGTGAGTGGATTTTTTGGTAACATCATGGAAGAGTTTTGACTATTGACGGGCTTATGAATGGGACGGGTTATTTTGGGAAATATGGTGGAATAGATCATTGCTTACATTGTGGCTGGGGAGATCAGGGTGAAAGCAATAAAAGAAGTACCAATAAAGCTGCAGATAAGTTTGTTTACGTGGGAAATAGTAGTGATCCTCTTACAACCTCTTTGTACATACCGAGTAATGATAAAATTGTCAACATTCACTGGAACTCAATAATTCAGCCTGTATTTGCAAGTGAGAAAGCCATGACATCTCATGGAAGTGATAATAAGAAAAATCGTGAGGCAAACCTCACAGTTCTTGGAGATTCATCCAACCTTGACTTTATCGAAGTCTTGCAGAGGGACAAAGGACTCTTGGATCCTAACATAGAAGAAAAAGGCAAATTACAATCCTATTTTTCTGAACAAAGACAAATCTAAGTACGTAAAACCAAAAAAGAAAAATTGGACAACTTACCTGGGCAAATTAAAGCTTGTAACCCCGTGAATTTAGCGTAGAAGGATAGTGGATAAAATTTGGAACACAGCACAACAAGGAAATCTACTCATCACATATGAAAACAGAGACATCTCAAATATCAACCCTAACCACAAATCAGGAAATAAAACAATTATAACAAAACCAGATTTAAAAAAAAAATAATCTCATATATAGAAACACAGTAGAAGGAGAATGCTTACCAATCAGATCCACTAACAAATAGAGATTAGAGACATGTCTGATTTCATATAGGAACATTTGATTTGTGCTCACAAGGACATTTGATTTTATGCCCCTTTGGAGTCAAAAATTAAGGAATCAAATATCTGACTTGATATTGGAACAATTTTTTTTCCCTTTTAAAATCCAATTATAGACAATTTGAAAAGAAGGAAATTTTACCAACCATATTTTTTACGATTGAATTAGGGAAAATGGTAAAATATTACCCTTCTAGTATTGGAAATATGTTAAATATACACTTTGTTATGTGTTAGGTCCAAATATACCCTTTTGATTATACTTTGACACAAATTTACGTCAATTTTAACGAAAAACACATGACAAACTCAAAACCAAATAATGCATCTCGAATTTCAAATATTTAATTTTTTTTAGAAACTCATTTCCTCCATTTTGAGCCCTTTTCTATAAATCTTCTTTTTAAAACGAAGCTAATAATTTATCGTATTCAAATACTAATATGATTTTACTTTCTTTCGAATTGAGGTTTTTATAAATAAGAAATTATCATTATTAACCTCTTCTAAAAGTTTCAATATTAATCAAAGAAAATACATTATTGAGATATGTTCCAAGAATTTTCAGCATCCAAAAATCGATGACTCACTACGTTCATTTATTTTCTTGTACTTTTATAATAGTAAGAACATGTGGGTACAATGATTAATTTTATAGAAAGGAAAAATGCATTACTACCCCCTAGACTATGACCGAAACCACAGAGACACACCTTAACTAAACTAAGATCCTATTACCCCCTAAACTTTTTTTTCTTTTTGTAATTTTATACACCTTTTTAGCTTACGTGGTATTCAAATGTCTCTCACGCGCCTCAATTGCGTGGAGTCATGAAGTGTGTCACGTAAGACAAAAGGTTCACAAAATAACAATAAAACTAAGATCAGGGGGGGTAATAGGATCTTAGTTTCGTTAAGATGTGTCTCTAAAATTTCGGTCATAGTCTAAGGGGTAATTGTGAATTTCCCCTTATAGAAATAAATTTGAAGATTTTTAATGTGCGTGGGGAAAATGCCGAACAATGATTTTGTGTGATGTGCATATTTTATTATCGAAAAAGGTCTTAAAATACCTTCGAAGTATTGAAAATAGTACACAACTACCCTTCATCCACCTATTGGCTCCAAAATACCCTTCTCATGCACCTATTGGCTCACAAATATCCTCTCCATCCACCTTTAGGTCCAATTTTAGTCACTACAATGATGGAGCACCATTCAAAATAAATAAAATAATCCTTTTAATTATATGGCGCTAAACCATTGGTTGAAATTTAATTATTTAATATAATTTTAAACCTACCATTACTCACCCATTTTTAACTAAATCTGTCCCAATACTTATTGAATCCGCTAGACCCAATACAAAAACAACCCACTCTTATTTCTTAACCAAATTGAACCTTTAAAAGAACTAACACAACTTCCTATAGAAAACATATAATGTAAATGGAATTGTGATCTCGTAGAAGAAAGACAAGTGACTCGGAGTTCAATGTGCAATGGTAAAGAATGAAACATTATCACAGACTATGCACCAAGAGGTTTATCTTTTGCATAGATTTAGCAGAAATGACTGATGCTCTAAGGGGAAAGAAAACATAATTCTTGCATAGGCTTCATTGATTCCTTGATTGCATAAACAGTCAAGTCCAGTGAATTTTTTTGCATACACTCATTACCTCCTCAGCAGTGCAGCTTATTCGATAAAATTATTTCTTTGCAAAAAAGGAAATAAAAACAGAAACTCACTAGTAGTTTCTTCCTTGTAATAAGAGAAATGATCATTTCTTAGCCAAAGTATTTAAGAATGCCAACACCACTTATTTGCAGTATATTCCCAAATCCCAATGCAAGTCAATTAAGTCTCTACTCAATAACATGAAGTGAAACCCATTCGTCTTTCAAACCGAACTACTCACTAGTTTACACCATCATCTAGCAGGTCACCCATGTCTATCATGAAGAGATTGGGTTCTTCTTGTATTGGCTCTGGCGAGTTCAATAAGTATTGGGGCGGGTTTAGTTAAAAATTGGTGGGTAATGGATAAGTTTAAAAATATATTAAATAATTAAATTTCAGCCAATGGTTGAGCTCCACGTAATTAAATGGATTATTTAATTAGTTTAAATGGTGCTATATTATTGAAGGGTCTAAAATTGGACCTAAAGATGGATGTGAAAGGCATTTGTGAGTAAATAGGTGGATGAGGAGGGTATTTTAGAGTCAATAGGTAGATGAGGGGTAGTTGTCTACCATTTTTAGTACTTCTAGGGTATTTTAGGCCCTTTTCCATTTTATTATTTTTTAGTACAAAAATTTAAAAATAGAGAAGGGATAATGTATAAGTATCTCTTAGCCTATGGCCAAAATCTCAGAGACACCTAAACTTAACTAAGATCTTATTACCCCCTAAACTAATTTTATTCGTATTTTTGTGGACCTTTTGTACTCATGTGACACCTTCGACCACCCAAGTTGGTTGTGTTTGTACACTCGCACGTCATGTGCGTAAATAATTTTTTAATAAAAAATATTTTTTAAATAAAATTAAAAAGTATTTCTAAATTTTTAAAAAATAATATTTTGTAATTTCTTTTAAAAAATAATTTTTATTTTTTAAAAGAAACTTAATCTTATTTTTTATCTTATATTTAATTAAGTTAACAATTTTTTCCTCTTTTATTTTTCTATTGAGTTTATCTTTTTTTATCTTTCGTTTTGATTTGATTTCAAATGTCTCGTATTTAAAATAAGTTAATTTTCAACGGATATCAAAATACGTGAATAAAATCAAATAAAGGAAATATTAAAACATTAAAATTAAAGGACACTTTTAAATTGTTTTTAAAAAAAATACACACAATTTATTAAAAATAATTAAAAGTAGAAAGATAATAAGTCAAAAAAATTTAAAGTGAAGAAATTAAAATAAATATTTTACAAAGAAAGAAACAAAATAATTAAATATATATAGGTTTTATTATCAATAAATATGTGTACTAACTAATTACAAAGTTACCGATTAAAAAATAACATCTGTCCAATTTGTGCACTCACACTTGCCTTCAAGAGAGTGTGCATTCTCTCTAAGACATGTCAGTATTCGTGGTGTATTCACTTCATTTTAAATTAGTTTAGGTGGGTAATAGGACACTAGTTAAGTTTAGATGTGTCTCTATTATTTCGGTCATAGTCTAGGGGGTATTTATGCATTTTTCCAATAGAAAATGAATAGGAAATGAAAATAACAGCTCAAAACGGAGGGAATGAGTTGCACAAGTGAGTTTCTAAGCAAATTGAGAGTAAATAATTTTATTTTGAGTTTGTCACATGTTTTTATGTCAAAATTAAGGGTATATTTACATCAAAGTATAATGAAAGAGATATATTTGGACTCAAAGTATTACATGAGGGGTATATTTGGACCAAAAGTAAAACAAAGAATATAGATAAACTATTTCCTTTAGTATAAGGGTATATTTGACTCTTTGCCCATTACATTATTATAATTTTTCAGGCCGAAAGTTAATAATTTACGTTTTATTTGTTTTGTTTATTATTCCGTTTGACTGTAACCTTGTATCTTACTAGTTTTGGAAATGCGGGATGCCCGTTTGTCCCATATTACTATATACAATTTGTAGCGAGTATAAAATTGTAAATTAAAAATTATATATTCATTCAGATATACATATTGTTTTCCTGATTATATACATATACTTGTTAAAGCAGTAGATATTATGTCCCAATTTCATGAATTTGTAAACAAAGATTCATTACTATTATCAACCCACTTAATAGGTCGTGGTCCCAACGACAGACAGTTATTGGTGTCGTGGTTGGCCTCCGTTAGATTTTCAGTTAGGGTAATTTTAGTATTTTTTTCCTTACGTGTTGGACATTAAAACTGTGTCGTTTAAATCCTAAACTTTGTCGTCTTACTCAATCTCAGCCTAGTAATTTAGTCGGAACTTACCCTAATCGATTATTGACAAAAATTAGACACAACTTAGAGGAAAAAGAAGAGGAAAGTCTACCAACCTCTCAAGAACAAGCAAAAGTTTTCTTCAAGTTCCACCCTCGAAATCAAAGGATTTCTCTTTAGATTTCGTCACTAGGTATGTGAGATTTCACTAGTGGGTTCCTTGCATCCACTAGGTCCCTACAATTCAGTTAGATTCTTGATTCTTTATATATTGTTTAGACCTAGGGTTTTCTAACCTTGGGAATTGTTGTAAATTAGTTTTTATAGTATTCTTAATGAATTATCATATTTTCTGGAAACGTTGCTTGGTTCCTAGCATGAAACTCAAAACTCTTGTTGTGAAAAAAATTCTTAGTTCATGAATAACACTTGCTAGGCCAGTTAAACTAATAAACATTCCTCAAATTTTGAATGTTGCATTGCCAGTAGAATTAGAAGAAAGTTGTACTAGGGTTCATACTTCCCTCATAGTCCCATAACTAAGTGCCTCTATGGATTATAAGTCCCCTCTGTATGACATCAGATTTAGTGATCACGCCAGTCATACCTTTATACTCATAGCAAGGTACATTTGGTGCTCTTTATAAGGTGTATACATCGGACTTTCGGTTTGGCTCACGTGGTTTTATGTCGATTTATAGTAGCTCCCACAGTCAGACTCTAGTGCATTTGACTCGGTTTTTAATTTATACTTCAGTATTCAGTCTCGGCATGTCATGTTCATAACCAATACTTGTTCATTGCATTCAATTCATTTGTCAGTTAAAAATTCAATATTTACATTATGTTCAGATTATGTCATTGCTTGACTATGCTTTGTCCAACCTATATATTTGTACATATATTATTTGTATCCTGCATGCAGTACATTCCAAGTACTAACACATGTTTTATGCTACATCCTTTCCTGATGAAGTTTCAAGTATTCAGCATCCCATATCACACATAGATTTATGTCCAGTATTTTCATTGACAAGTCATCATATTTTGAGGACAATAGACATATTCTTTTCATATTCAGTCTTTTAGTTCAGTTTTTAGTTTTGCTAGGGTTAGCTGAAGCATGTCCCATTAACTCTAGT